ATCGGTTTATAAGACAAAGCAAATTACAACGTTTGATTTTGAAATAGAGGAACAGTACTGTGTGTGAGTAAGAGTTCGAGTTTTAAAAAAAATGAGTAAGATATGGTTGAGGAAAATTTTGTGGAAAAGAATGTATATGATTTGGATTGATAAGGGTTGTATCCTAGATTCAAAAGTTAAGGATTGTGTTCAGAAAATAGAATGTGCAACAGAACAATGTTAGATAATCTCTATTATCTTAAAGTGGAAAAATTAGATGAAATAATTTAGTTGCTATGCGGTTGAGCTAAAATATGGTAAATAAATGTTATAATGGTAATAATGGAAGATTCATTAATGTGAATATTGTTTTGGAAGGAGTTTAAAGAAATAGGTACATCAATGATTATTTTATAAGATAGAAGATGTTGAAATATTGAGTGTGAACAAATAAAATTTCATGATGCATAGGAATGAATGTGGATTTGATAAGTTAAGTAAACTATTGTTGAGATAATTCTGATTGGAAAAGGGGTATATGATTAATTGATTAGGGTATGTGCCCTAAATTGAACAATTGTAAGAGTAAAGGTGATAGAATTATAAGATTGGAAGAAATTATCAGTACATGAGATGGTAAAGGAAAACGTTTTGTATAAATAAAGGGAATTATAAAAGATACGAAGATACGATGAAGATCAATAATCAGGGATAAGTATAAGCGATATGAAAAGAGTATGAGAGTCTGAGAAAAAGATATGACATAGGTTGTAAGGAGATTTGGATTTGTGAAGGAATGAAGAACTAAGGAAATTAAATGATGGAGTTTAAAAGCTCAAGTATGACAAGAATTATGATGAGGTATAAAGTATGAGTTAGCATAGAAAAAAATATTCGTAAGACTATATGAAAAATTGTTGGATTTTGGCAAAGTGTATGTATTAATCATCTGTAATGAGGATTTAAGATTATGTTTCTTGGTCAAGTGGACATGTACAGAGAGATAAAGAATGATTCATACGTATTAAGGAAGTTAAGATGTAGATGAATAATGATAGAATAAAAGTTGGTAATTAGAGACTTATGAGGAAAGTGAATGATTTGGGATTTTGAGTAATAAGAATTGATGTTACTATTTATATGATAAGGGATATGATATAGATGTATAAAAGAAAAAGGCAATTGAAGGATTGAAGTAAGTTAGCACATTTTGTTATAAAAGGGTGATTATTCTTTAGACAAGTACGTGATATTATATGAAAATACTTTTTTGCGTATTGTAGTACATACAAGAATTAAGGAATGAGTAAATATTTGGTTTATGGTGTAAAGCGATTAAAGAATAATGAAGGAAATCAATTGATTCATAATATTGAGTAGTAAGGATTAGAGTATTGTCTATATAATGAATGGCATTATATGGATTTATAAAAGTCGAATGTATATGAAGAATTGAGTAAGGGAAAAAGATAAGTCTGTTAGCGATAAACATGAAAGATTAAGGAAATGAAGCAACATGAGAATATTAGAAGATATGTTCTTATTAATGTGGGCAAGGAAAATTCGAGGACGAATTTTCTTAAAAGGATGGGAGATTTGTAATATCCCAAACTACGGGTTAGTGACTAAATTGTAAAATTTTAGAATTTGATGATTAAAGTGGAAAAGTTCAATAGTTCAATGACTTATTTAAAAATAATTCCTGAAGGGTTATTAGTAATTATTAAAAGAATGAGAGGGCAAAATGGTCATTTGATAGGAAATATATTTTTTTCCTATATATGAATGAATCACGTGGGGAAAGGGGGAAGTTATCTTCTTCTTCTTCATTTCTTCTTCTCCATCGTGAGCAAGAGAGCAAAGGTAAGATCTCTTAATTTTTTATTATTAGCTGAATTTTAAGTTGGGTTTTGATCATTAGATGATAACTAAGCTTAAGGAGAGCTTAAGTTGTCTTATAATCAAAAGATGAAAAAGTTATAAGAGATTAAAGAAAATGAGTTTTTAATTGAATTTATGGAAAAGAGTTGATAAGTTGAATTTGAAGTTAAATTTGACTTGTCATCATGCTAATTAAGGAATATGAAGTGTTAGAATTGTATTTAGAACATAATGAAATTTGAGTATGATTCTTGAATTACATATGAGGGACATGATTTTGAGGTTAAAGATGGTTTTCATGGATATAAGTTGGTTTAAGTAATGGTGGTTGGGTTTAATGACATGATAGCGGTTTAAAATAGAAGAATTGATGATTTTCGGGCTTAAAATACAATTTCTGGGCATAGGGAATTGGTACCCTATGAAGGGGTATCGATACCCCCTCTTGAACGAAAATTCCAGTATGTGCAGGGGGAATAGATTCCCCCTGGGGGGGGTATCGATTCCCCCCTAAATGAAAAATGGAATTTTGGTTCATTGAACCGACTTAAGTTATTAACATCAAGTTTAAGGTTTAGGCTTCTGATAGTTGTTTTGAAATGTTATATTTATGTAGATATTGAACCTAAACAAGTTCTGGAATAATCAAAGGATTAGGATTGAATCAAAGCAAGGCTAAGGTGAGTGCAATTTAATTGTACTTATGCTATCGAAAAATATTGGCTTGTGATGAGCCAGTGACGGAGTTACTATGGTAAGAAGTGACTCCTAAAATGTTATATGATTGATATGATTCTTATGAGTGCATTTTAGTTTATAGGATTATAAGGAATTGGACTTTTGATAAGTCTATTTCCAATAGTTATAGTGTATGGAGTATTGATTACAAGGATGTGAATGACATGAAATGTATGTATACTTGATTATATGAACTGATATGTGCTTATATGTGCTATGTGATTTATGTGATATGCCATATGTGAAAATAAAATATGAACTATAGGAAAGGATTATATGATGTATATATAAACATATGTGAACAAAATAGGACATGCATGTTTACATGAACACATGAGAAATAATATAAGTTATATGATACGATTTATATGATTACATGCACATGTAATATATGTTATATGATATGGATCTATGTGACTACGTGCGAAAAAATATATGTCTATGAGAAGACATAAGAACAAGGTATAAGCTATGTGACATGTGAACATGAATCATATGAAAATGTTCTACGTGTAAGTGAACTATGTGTCGATATGAATAAGTGTTAAATATGAAAAATAATGCTCATGTTATGTGTCATGAGATCTAGAGGTATAGTTGGCATGCCAAGAGTCGAGGGTCTACACGGTCTTTCGGGATAATTCTACGTGGTCCTTCGAGACATATATGTATTCTTTGAAACATGTATGATGTCTTTTGAGACACCTACTTGATCCTTGGTATATGTATATGATTCTTAAGGAATTTATATGTGATCCTTAGGGACAAATTTTATATGGCACTACGGTGCATTTCTACGTGGCACTTCGGTGCAATTCTACGCGGTCCTTCGGGACAAATTCTTCGTGGCACTTCGGTGCAATTTATATGAGCTGTGGTGACAGCATTTGTGCACAACCTCAATGTACTCAAATGCCTTAAGTTCTCAGTAATGTACCTGGGCTAATAAAGAGACAATAACAAATACAATACATATGATGTATATGCTTATGGTGATATGAAATATGTTACATGAATTGTATGATGTTATGTGTGTTATACGATATACAGAAATGATAAGTACAAAGTCATATGATAAATAGAGAGTATGATGATGATGGTATATGAATGCATTTTATTATATGAAATGTTCTATAGTTTTATTACATGTTTTTTATGCCTCACTAAGTCTATGACTTAGCGTGTGACTGTTTCACACGTAGGTTTCGAGAATAGGAAGATTAATAAAAGTTATGCAAGACATGTCAGTTTCTCCTTTCCAAAGATCAAATTAGAAAAAAAGTTAATAGTATGTATTTTGTAATACTTATAGGGGTTGGCATGTAAACAAAAATTTGAATTCGATATGTTTTAACCGATTTTGTAAAATCATATGATTGAATTTTCTAATGTTTTAAATGTATATATGTAAATAAAAATTTTATACGAGTGAAGCCTTAGATTTTTATGAATTTATACGTATTTTACGGAAGTATTGTAGCAGGGGAATCGATCCCCCTCTGACAATCTAAAAAATTTTAACATTTGGGCACTGTTCATAATATTGCTCATTATTGTTCACAATACTGTTTATTAATGTTCATACATTACTGTTCATACAATTTTTTGCTGTTCATAAATATGATTTTACCTCAAAATTTTATAACAAACAAAATTCAACATTATATGATCGTATTTTCTTTAAAAGAGTTCAAATGTTCTGATATTTTATAAGAATAAAGGTTTTAAAAGTTAATGTGACATCTCAGATTCGTATCAGGGTCGGGTACGGGTTGGGGTGGTACACTAGTCGACCGAATTAACTAAATTAATCTAATAGCCAAAAATATTAAATATATAATATATAATATTTAAAATTTTGGTTAGTTCGCTTATCTAATCGATTAACCAAAATTTATTCGGTTCGTCAATTATTTAAAAAAATTAGGTTCGATTAACGATTAAAACAAAAAAATTTGGTTAATAAAATTTTGAAAGTTAGGTTTGGTCGGTTAATCGAACCAACTGACTGGACACCCTGCCAGAGGAGAAAATCTCAGTTTAACTTGCAAAACCCTCAAAACCCCCAAAATGGAATCAATAGAGCCCTCATAAAAACCATAAGTCATCAGCAAAACATAAAATTGTAAGATGGAGTCTATGACACTTAGATGATAAGAAAAAACACCATAGTTCACAGCCCTATTCAACATCTTAGAAAACACATTCATGGTCAAAACAAAGAGATAACTGGACAATGAGTCCCCTTGTCTCACCCATTTATCCCCACGAGAAAACCAATCAAACCCTCATTTAAAGAAATAGAGTACATATGGGTGGTAATAGTAATACACACCCTAATCCGTTAAATCATAACTGCATGCATATGAAGAGTTTCCAAAAACTTTGACACAAAATCCCAATCAATAAAATCAAAAGCCTTGCGTAAATCTAGTTTCAAAATCCCACTGACTAATTCCTGGGCCATCAGTGTGTTGTCCATAATAGACCTAACAGGAACATGAACACTCTAGCTACAAGAAATAACCTCGGACAGATAAGGCTTAAGTCTATTTATAATAACCCGAGTAATACATTTGCATATAACGTTGCAGCATGAAATAGGTCAAAAGTCCTTCAAATTGATAGGATTCGAAATTTCGGGAACCATGACAAGAGTCGTAGCATTGAACTCAGGCAGAAGAGAGGCATTCCTGAAGAAAAACAGAACAACTTGCAAAACGTATTCATCTATGACACTCCAAGCATCCCTGAAGAAACAAGTCGAGAATCCATTAGGCCCATGCGCCTTATTTGAGCATTGATCAAATAAATCACTTTTAACCTCATCACAAGAAACCTCACACTGAAAGACCTCACAAGCTTCAACAGTAAAAGAAACACCCAATAAATCAGACAGAAACTCAACGTGAGGCACAAAATCCTTACTGTCCCTCGTTCCAAGCGGCATTTCAAAAATTCGAATAGCCTCAGAAGCAATAAGTTCTAGATCATCAAGAACCTACCCCTGATCATTCGTAATAACACAAATAACATGCCTATTCTGCTTGATTTTAACCATCGTGAGGAAGAAATTAGTATTTTGATCCCCACTTTGGACCCAAGAAATTCGAGCCTTTTGTTAGAAAAAAAACTCATTAGCATCTACCAACCCCTAAAGTTCAGCAAACACAACCTTAACATGCATCAAGAGGGCACTATCATGGCCATTAAAAAGGAGCCTCAATTGTAAAGACCCCAACTCAAGCTTTTACTCATTCACATTCCTAGGTAAATCACCATAATGCACAAAATTAGACTCTTTCCAAACATATTTCAAGTGTTTCAGCTTTAAAAACAAAGTACTCATTGGATTTGAGACACCAAAAAGAGGTTATTGCCAACTCTGTAAAAAGTACTAAGGAATTTCAGATACTTAACCCAAAAATTAAATAACCTAAAAGGCTTACGAACAAATTTTTGAGCAACATCTAGCAAAGCAAGACCAGGGCAGTAGTCTGACAAACCAGGGGAAAAGAAACTCATACGACTACGAGAAAAAACCTCTAACCAATAAGTAGAGACCATGACACAGTCAAGCTTTCTAGACATGAAAGATCCCTCCTGATGGTTTTACCAAGTAAAAAAGAAGATCAAAAGTATGATCAAACAAACCAATAGTCTCTATACACAAACTAAACTCCTCTATATCCTTTCAAAGAGAGCTTCCAACAAGTTCAAAGCTCTCAATTTGACTAGAGATGACATTGAAATCAACCCCAGCAATCCAAGGCTTATCCCACTCAAGCTCCTTCAGAAATCTAAGATGCTGCCAAAAGGACAACCTATCACCACCCAAATTACAACCATTGATAACAGTGATAAAAAAAACTCCACCTTACCCAGGCTCATTAAACAAGAAATACTCTTTTCAACCCTAGCAATATCCAAGATGCCAATATCAGACTTACAGAGCAACCAAATTCTTCCATTCTCAACAAACTCATAATTATGAAAACCTCTTCACCCAATAAAGAAACTATCCCAAATTGCCTGAACTTTATTATTCTTCACTCGATTTTCAACCAAACAAACAATATCTATACCTAATAAAGAAATCATATCCACTACAAATTTTAGCTTATTAGGGTGATTTAAACCCCTAGCATTCCAAAACAACACCTTCATTTAAGGAGTAATTCCCAGGTCACCCCTTTTACCATTCTTCTTATCCCCTTTGACATTATTTTTCACCATTGTTATTAGTGATAACTTTCAACTCTTTCAACAACAGGTTCACACCTTTTGCAGCATCACGAGTAGGCCTGCCATCATCTCTAACATACACCTTAAGCATATTCTGATCCAAAGAATCCCTAACAATTACAGTCTCAACAATACTAGAAACAACAAAAGCTTTCTCATTAGAAACATCAGCAAGAATCTATTTCGAGATAGCTTCACCAACAGTCTCCTCACTAATGACTGCCTCCACTACAACAACAGGCTCAAGCTCATCACTAGAACCAATCACAGGTCCATCCCTTCCAGCAACAACATCAGTGATGGTACCAACGTCACTCACTGTTCTAGAACTAAAAGCAACGATAGTGGGATCAACACAAACCTCCATCTCATTAACATTTTTCTAGACCCAAACCTGTTGGGGGAGACGGGGAGTTGCTACTTTGGGCAAGCTTTGTCCAAATGCCCAAACACACAACACTTAGCACATCTAGGGGGCATCCAAAGGACATCCACCCGAACTGAAATCAATGATCCATCACTCAGAACCACATTAATATATTTGGGCAACTTAAAATTAGCAGCAATCTCAACATAAACTTTCACATGAGACACCTTATGTCTAGCAACAGTAATATAATCCATGTAAAGAGAAGTGCCCAATGCACTACCAATGTAACTCAGACCCATATCGCCAACTAATCCAAACTGAAATCTAAGGATCTAAGATTAGGTTCCCAATTTCGCAAGATAAACGGTTTATTTTGAATATGAAAAGAGCCATCAGACAATACCCACTCCTTATCCTCATTACTGGAAAATTGAAATAGAAAAAGATTATCCTCATCATAGTTAATATCAACCTCGCCACACTTCACCCAAAACAATTTAACAAGACAATGCAAAGAATTGAAACTCGGAGGTGTACCAATAAATTGGGCAATAACGACATTCTCCCAGACACGAATACCAGCTTCAAAAACCTTCTTAGACGGTCTAATCTTCACTTCACCTTCTTTGAGCAAAGGGAAAATAACTCCAAAGACTAGTCCTCCTTCACAACAAACAAATTTCTCCAATTCATTCCTCAAAAAAAAAAAATCCAATTCATTTAATCAGAATTTTACCCATTTGGGCAATGATTTCACGTAGCTCTTCCCAAAACCTTAAGATTGCGTTGGGTTCACGAACGTAATATTACGAGAATAAAAATTACCGGCCGGAAATGTTATATTTTATGTTTGATTAATTTAGTACGAATATAAAAATATCGTGTTTATTTAAAGAAATAAAAAATTATTAAAATATATATTTTACTTAATTGTCTTTATTATATATTTATTTTTTAACAAGTTGAATTTTATTATAATATTACTATAATTAATTTATATATTTTTAAAAAAATTTAAATTCATAAAATTTATATATTTTTTAAAAAAAATTGAATAAATAGGTTTAATGAAAGATTAAAATTTTATTTTAACACTTGAACTTTATATAAAATTATAATTATGGATTTTTTTTGTAAATATAAAATAATTTAAGGATAAATTTATAATTTAACCTTCGTAGAATTTTTATTATTCAATGACAGAAGAAGTATAATTTTGAAGAAAAAAATTAAGGATATTTTAGTCCAAAACGCTGGTAATCTAATAATACCTAAGGGAATGGGTAATCACATTCCCGGTAATATACCTCAAAAAATCCACTGTTGGTAATAAAAAGATTATCCGAAATAAAATTACCGGCCAACCAAACGGAGAATGAGGATTTCATTCCCCTGATAATATTGTATGTCGTGAACCAAACGACCTCTAAGAAAAATAACATTTCTAGTAAGAAGTGTGTAATTTACTCATTTAAATAATAATATAATAATTAAAAATTAAAATGAAGTTTATTAAAATTATCCTCAGATAATAAATAGATGATTATTTATTTATTATTTCTCATATTTTTATTTTTCTAATATAACTTTAGTATTGTTAATTTTTTATTGTTTTATAATTAAAAGAAAATAATAATAAAATATAGAGTAAGTTACATGGGTGACCATTCAACTATGGTCAAGAATCATTTTGCCATTGATGTTTTAATTTGATCAAATAGGCCATCTAACTATTTAAATGCTTCAATTAAGTCACCTCTCGTTAATAGTTAACATAATATGAGACGTGACAATTAAAAATATTTTGGTATAATTACACAATTGATTCATGTTACTTATATATTCTTTCAATTTGATCCTTATTTTAATATTAAAATAATGACACATATATCACCCTCTAGTTGAAAAAAAATAAACCAATGCATTAGGGGACAAGTGGGATTCAAGCCAATGACCCCTTGTGAGGTAGAAAGCACTAAACCATTGTGTCAAAGCATCCATTTGGTTTTCTTTATATATAAAAATATATATATATTGTATCTTAGTAAATTTTTCTTTAGACAACAAATAATATAATTAATAAATAAAAATTAAGAGTATTTTTTATATTAACAAAAAATATGAATATTAAAATATATTAAAATAATAGTAAAATATTTTAAGTTAATATATTTTTAAAAATTAAGATAAAAATAAAAATATTTTTAAAATTTAAGAATTAAGATATATAAAATATTATATTCATATTTTTTGATAATATAAAATATTATATTCATATTATATTAATATATATATATATATATAATATTAAACTATATAATTAAAGAAAATTTAAATATATTTTATATATTAATTATATTATTTGTTGTCTAAAGAAAAAATTACTTAGACACAAGTATATATTATTTGTTGTATAAAGATATCTAAATGGATGTCTTGGCCCAGTGGTTTGGTGCTTTCTACTTCACCCACCATGACCTTTGTTTAAATCCCACTTGCCCCTTAATGCGTTGGTTTGTTTTGTTTCAATGTGTCACCCTCTTATTGGAAGAAAGTAAATATATTAAAATAAAAATAAAAATAAATTTATTTCTCTAATTGAATGATAACACATGTTATTATTTTAATTTATTAAAATGATAACCAAATTAAAAGAATATATAAGTAACATGGACCAATTGTGTAATTATACCAAAATGTTTTTAACTTCACATCACTTGTTCCGTTAACTGTTAATGGTGGGTGACTTGATTGAAGCATTTAAATAGTTGGATTGTTTGTTTGATCAAATTGAAGCATTGTTGGTTAAAATGATTTTTGATCATAGTTGAGTGGTCACCTGTGTAGTTTACCCTAAAATATAAATTAAAAATGAGTTTAAAGCCCAAAAATATTGGGTGCTCCTGGCCCATGTTTTTCATCAATGGCGGAACGAACTGCAGCCGTTCTTATGCGTAAAACGGTAAGAAAAAAACCTAGTTTCTTAAAATGGCTAAAACCCTAAATTCGCTCTTCATAAACTCTTCTCTTCTTCATTCCCACCCCATCAGTCTCTAAACCTTCAATTCCCCACTTTCGTTTAATTTTCGTTGTTTTTAAAATGATGTTTTTGTTTGATAAAATTGTTGAAAAGAAGAATGATCGATGATGACAAATCCAAAGGCTTGTTTCTCAAAGAACATTCGCGGTGGCCGCCTGAGAGCTTTCGCCTTTCGCCGGGCTGGAGAGCTTCTGCTGTTTCATTCCTTCCTTGGATGTCTGAGACCCTTCTTCCATCTCCGTTTTTATTTTTGTTCATTCCATCCGCTTTAATTTGTGTAATTTCTCCTAATAGCTTTATCAAAGTTTAATTTTTTGAACAGTTCGTTCCAGATTATAACTGGTTGTTGCTTTTTTTTCTACTTTTGAGTTTTTTGTTGCTGAAATGTCATACGATCATGTCTTGTTATCTAAAAATGTTAGCTGATTCTTTAAGCATTGTATTGATCTTCTTTCTGTGTGTTCTTTCTTTTAAGTTTTAAAAAAGTTAAATTATTTTTTTATTAGTTCGATACTTTGGTTATTGTTGAATTGACTTGCGTGAAGATGATGCATGTTCCATTACTTGACGTGGGTGAGGTTGATTTTTCAACAATCACTATTGATCAAAGTGTTGCAATAATTTAAATTTGAAGCTCTTTTAGTGCAAATTGTAAGAATTGAAGTGAAATATTCACTTGAGATGAGCAAATTTTATTGAGAATGTAAATATGGTCGATGATGATAACTTGAAAGGCTTGTTTCTCAAAACATTCGCAGTGGCCGCCTAAGAGCTTTCGCCTTTGCCGGGCTTGAGAGCTTGTGCTGCTTCAATCCTTCCTTGGATGTCTGAGACCTTATAATATTTGTGTTTGTGTCTTGTGCTTGAAAGGGCTGCTATTTCATTTAGTCTTTTGCTTAGTTACTTCATTAATTCAATTTTGGTACACTTTCTTACATGCTATGATACAACTCTGTATACTTGGGTATTTGTTAACATCATTAAATTTATGTGTTTTGATGGTTTTGTTGATGATAAATCCAAAGGCTTGTTTCTCAAAAACATTGGCAGTGGTCGCCTAAGAGCTTTCGCCTTAGCTGGCTTGAGAGCTTGTGCTGCTTCAATCCTTCCTTGGATGCCTGAGACCTTATAATATTTGTGTTCGTGTCTTGTGCTTGAAAGGGCTGCTATTTTATTTAGTCTTTTGCTTAGTTACTTCCTTGATTCAATTTTGGTTCACTTTCTTACATGCTATGATGCCGCCCTGTATACTTGGGTATCTGCTAACAGTACTTAACACCATTATATTTATGCGTTTTGATGGTTTTGTTGATGATGATAAAAGCAAAGGCTTGTTTCTCAAAAACATTTGCAGTGGCTGCCTAAGAGCTTTCGCCTTTGCCGGGCTTGAGAGCTTGTGCTGCTTCATTAGTTCCTTGGATGTCTGAAACTTTGAACACAATTCTTGTGTCTAATTATTGGTTTTTGTCTGTTTTGCCATCCGTCTTTAGACCATATGTTTGTTGGGCAATTCTGAAGGGCATTTTGTAGATTATCCCAGGCCAACTGTTCTCGGTCAAACTGGCGCTTATGCAACTGAATGTTCATTTGCAGTGAATCGATGACCGTTTTGTCAAATTCACAAACCTCCCCAAGTTTATGATCGACCAATGTGAAAACTCAAGGGAAAATGTCTTTTGAAGGAATAATTTCGAGTCACCTATCCGACCAAGTCTCATTTTGCCGTCACCAAGGTAAACTTGATATTGTCTACAAAAGGGTCATAGGGGGCTGTCAAGTGTTTTACAACTCTCCCTATAATCTAACATTAAAGGGCAACAAGCTCGTTGAAGAATGTTCACACATAGTAGATGGAAGGATTGTGACCATGTCTGCCCTAGTGTAGCATCCGATAACTTCTGTTTGTATCTATATATTTTATTATGTTTTAATCATCTTTATAATATGTTATATTTATATCAACTTTGATATGATAATAGTTTGTATTATATAAATTTATAAAATAATTACTCATGATGTCCACAAATGATTGTCCTCATTTTGTATTGGTCCTTAAACTTCAACATGTTTTATATTAGTTCAAAAATTATGATCTATTTTTAAACTAATCCATAAATTTTAAAATAGTCTATGTTGATCTTCAAATTACCAATATCATTCTATTTTGGCCATTCCATTAATATATCAATAACTTTATTGGTTAAAAATTAATATATTTTCGGAGGTCATGGGAATTGAACCTGCGGCCTTCTAAAAAATTCACAGGACCTTAAAAAAATTGAAAACAATTAGGTAATAGGTTCAATTTCCAAGACCTTCAAACAATCCATAAAGTTAACATGTTAATTGAATTATCAAAATGAAATGATATTGATAGTTTGAATATTGCCATAAAATGTTTTGAAGTTTTGGCACTAATTTACAATAAGGGTCATAGTTTGATGATAATATAACATGTTTTGAAGTTTAGAGACAAATCTAGAATGAGTGTTATAGTTTGAGGACTTCTTGTCTAAATAACTGTAAATTTATGTTTGTTATTTTCAATATTAGGGTAAAATACATAAATTATCACTAAATCGTGCGGGGTGATCTTTTCTATCACTAAATTTTTAGAAATTACAAAATTAGCATTAAATTATTAAATTATTATAAAATGGTCACTACACATTATAAAATATTAATGAATTTCAATAAATTTAAGGAT